ATTAAAGGCTTTTTGTCGGCAACATTTGTCAGTGTGTTTTCTTGCTTTGTAATATTCGTCTAGAAAGCTTATAAATGTTGAGTTATTTGCTCTTTGTATGACATGGATGACTTGATTTTTCAAGATTTCAGAAATTCCTTGGCCTGATGGTAATTACTTTTGTGGGGGGGGGGGGGGGAGGGGTTAAAGCCAGAGTCCATCATTTGCAGTGATCCAAAAGTAACTGGCGTAATTATTGTTGAAAAACATACTTGGTTGAAAGATAGTAAGGGGATTAAACTCCCTGTGGATTTATTCTTTCTGGCAAGCTGTCATTTTGAAGAAATCAACGAAAGAAGGCCTTTCCAACGGTGCGTCTTAAGAAGCACTGTTGGAAATTTCGGTTAGTAGTTCGTTTTTGTATTCGGCGAAGCGCACGCAAGCGTTGGCATGACGCACGCGCGCGCGTGGTTGCTATCATTCGTCAGATCGGTGAGCGACATCACGTAGCTGCAATCGGCTCAGTAAGAATTCAGGCCCAATTCAAAACATGATTCAGCAACTTTTGATTTGAAATCGAGATCCTAGAATGTTGTTTTTCTCAAAATTTACTGCTGAAGCTGAGCTGTAACTTCATCAGGTTAGTTGTTGAGCACCCTTCTTTAGATTTTGAGCAATTTTGTTGCTTCAAATGAACAAAATGCACAAATTACAAATGATGGACTATACTTTTAAACTTGAAGAAAGTTTCCCATGAAATACATTTAACCAGAAAAATAAGAAAATTGCCAAAATGAAAAGATAAAGTTTGTCAAAAATTGACTACTGTAGACATGCACTAGTGAAATTGTTTAAGATGCCATACCGTTTCCAAAAATCACAATTTTGAAATAATGACTGTTGCTTCCATCTAAAGAGCTACCGGGGTATTTCCATACCTGTAACATTTGGAAAACATTAGTACCAGTAAAAAAGAAAATTTATTCATAAACCAGCAGCTTACTATTTTTTACAGCTGCCCATATATTTCTTCTTTTTGAGGATAGGGCCTTCAAAGAAAGTCAACAAAGATAATAAGGCAGCTCTATGTATTTGCCTTTTGTTTTGTTTTGAAAAACCGAGAAAAAAAGTTGGTTATAGAAACGCAAATTAGAAAGTAAGGATTTTAAGCAACGTCGTCGACCATTCATCTCACGTGTCACCTTCAGCAGAAAATTGTTTGGAAAAAAGAAAATTTTGGAAAGAAAATTTTAGCAACCTCATCGACCGTTCGTTTCACGTGTCACCTCCAACCCACCCTTCTAATACCCAACAATGATCAAACCAATTCACGTTGAGCTTGAATAAACCCCCTTTAAAACCACCTCAATTTTCTAGTTAGGCGTTTCCAGTGCTTAGCCCCTTCAGTCTGAAAATATATGCCTCGCACATCTCCCGTCCTTTTCCCCCGATTTCCGTTTTTATCTCGGCTCGACAGCTTTCTCGCCAGGATTAGGGAGCTTTCAAGCTTGAGGTCTTGAGGGAAAATAAAAGAACAGAATTACCATCTTAAGGAGGCGCAGTCACGAGCGAGGAAAACGTCTTCAAACCAAAGTGTAACTGCAGGGATGTTTTGTTGCTTGAATACCCGTCTTGCAAATATTTCCCTTTTTCTGCCCTACAACTGTTTACAGCTTTGAGCTAATTGTTTTGGCTGAAAAAATATTTGGAATTTGTAGAAGGAACCTTAGATATTGCCACTGAGAAACACATACACTTCAATTTTAAACTGGCTGAAATACCGGTACATATTGTTTGTTTTGGAGTATAGAAATTCTATAATTTAGATTTGATTACTGAATTTGTCTTGAATGATTTATTGTGTAGTGTTCAGGTTTACATGTTTTATGCAAAACGGCCCCTTGAAAAACAACCTTGGTTAAATGGGTTACTGTGTACATTTGTAAACAAGTTTAAATAAATTAATAAGTAAATTCATATTTCTGATGCCCGTTTAAAAAAGAAGAGCATTTTACTCTCTACAATTGAACGTTTTTGGCCTTTCAGTTATTGTTATTCAGATTTTTGCTATTGTAATTGAAAAATCAACGAATGTTTTTGTAAAATAATTTGACAAACAAAAATATTGACTTCGAATTTGCAGTTTTTGAAAAATATTTCAAAAGAATATGTGCGTGCACGAAGGAAAGCTTCAAGATCTTTTATCAGATCTTTCGAAGTTGCGTGAGGAAAAAATTTGCCTTTTTTTCTGGCGAGGGCGATAATCTGACGCCTTTACAGCAAGTGAGAGTAGGGGTCCTAAAGACTAAAAAAAAATACTGATATTGAGAGGGAAGGGATATTATCACCAGGTACGCCAACCCCCAGGGGTTGGGGGTTCGTAATGTCAGGGGTCGCGGCCCTGTCTTAAGCCCGCCTCGGGCTCCTCGGGAGACTTTGCAATTTCAGCGGAGAGGTTTTGGAAACGCTAGAGCCCATGTTTTGTGTAGATTTTGGCGTGATTGTATTTCACTAATTCAGTTTCGCCGCCCAATTTATTATGCAGTCTGGTCCAATACATTTGTACACAGTGGAGTGGAAAGCATATTACTGACAAGTCACATGTGTTTCCTGAAAAACAAAATTTAAGAGAAGAATTTCAAATGTGTTTTAAAGGTAGAGGAGATCATTTGTCATGTGTGCACTTGTTTTGTTTGAAGCAACGAGAGTACTCAAAAGCTGAAGACGGGTGCTTAACAACTAATCTGGGGCCAATTTCACGGCGCTGCTAAGCACACAAATTTGCTTAGCAGAAAAAAAGTCTGGCTTATACATATACATGTAAAAGCAGGTTACCAGCAAAAACTCCATCTGATTTTCCTGGTAAACTGCTTTTATAAGCCAGGCTTTTTTTGTGCTAAGCACATTTTTTTGCTTAGCAGCGCCGTGAAATTGGGCCCAGATGAAGTTTTAGCTATTGAATAGAAAACAATATTCTAGGATCTGGATTTCAATTCAAAGTTGCCGAGTTATGCTTTGAATTGCATCCCGAAATCAGCATCTACAATGTATGTGATGTAGATTCAATACTGGTTTACCCTTCACCAACGTCATTTATAAACTCACAGACTACTTGAGTTGGAATCTAACCCACGACCTCCTGCTTACTAGTGCGGAAGTCGTGGGTTCGAGTCCCACCCAAGTATCTTGTGATTTTTTTTCTCACAATCATTCCGTTTTCTCACAATCACTGCTTTTATAAGCCAGGCTTTTTTTGTGCTAAGCAAATTGTTTTGCTGAGCAGTATACAGTGTGTATAAAATATGTATATTTTTTCTCACAATCACTCAGTATACAGTGTGTATAAAATATGTCGGTATTGAAAACCCAATATCGAAAAGACTGGAGCAAGTCTACTCCGCCCTTCATGAACCAGCCATTTTGACGTGTTTGTTTTCATTGCAATCTGAATCTGGTGTCTTGCACCAGCCATGTCATGTACATGCCATAGGCTATCGCACTCAAAATGGGATGGGTTGCCACACACGTTGAGAAATAATTCCAGCAAGACAACAAATTATGGTGCCAAGAATCTTTGGACACCCCCTAACATTTGGAACGATAATCTACTGTATTGAATCGGAAGAGGTTGATTGGCAAGGCCTCAAATCGGGAAACATCAGACCAGCTTGTTTGGTTAATAGTTTTGGGCGTGGAGTCCATGTAGTTTCAACAACGGAGACAAATATTTACAGGGTGAATTAAAAAAACGAAACCCAAATGGCGGGACCATTGTTTTAGTGAAGTTCTGCATGTAGCACTTTCAAAATCTAGGATATAAAAAGCCCAATTCATAAGCTTTCTTTTAGTTCATGAATCATTCCAATTACTCACGTACTGTACTTGTACTTTTCAATTTTAAACACAACCACTGTTTTTAAAGTTCTGTCCACGGATCACAAAAAAGGCGTACGTTCTTTCAGTTTCATCAAAACGAAAACAATTCACTCACATCCCTATGTGATTTGGTTTCGTTTTGCTGAAAGAACACTGAACTTTTTTGTGATACATGGACAGAACCTTAAAACGGTGGTTGTGTTTAAAATTCCGTAACTTGAAAAGTACATGAGTGATTTGAATGATTCTTGTACTAAAAGAAAGCTTATGAATTGGGCTTTCATATCCTATATTTTGAAAGTGCTACATGCAGAACTTTTGACATTTGGGTTTCGTTTTTTTTTTATTCACCCTGTATTTGGAACCACTAAACAATTTGAAAAGTCGAACTCTAAAAATTGTGAATGTGATGTTTTCTCTGTTTCGATAAATATTAGATTAAGGTAGGAGAGACTGTTCCAATCCTTGATTGTCCTGGGGAGGAAACTGTTGTTGAAGGTTCTGGTTGTGGCATACAATTGATTCAGTTTGCGTTTACAATGTACGGTATGTCCTCGGGATGATCAAGTATTTGCAGTTAAACAAAGGCCTCTGCTGGTGAATAAGCTTTTGATGCAAACATGCTTAATCTTTTTCAAACTGTTGAAGTTCTTGTGGGAATTTCATAAACCACATTAATAGCTGCGATGCAATAAAAATGTACATTGTTTGATTACCAGTGTACACAGATATTACATTAGCTGTTCAGGTTTTTCCACATGGTACCGGTATTTACAGATTGGATACAAATATGTACAGACTTTAGGGCCTACTACAAAGTTGTACAGATTTTGTAACCAATATAAATGTTAAGTAAAGATGTTTTTTACAAAGTGGTAAAAAAAAATCCAAAGGTTTTTTTAATTGCTTACAAAATATATTATAAATATTTATATGGATCTAATTGTACATATTTTGTTAAAAATGTTTTAAGACTTTATTCGGCTTGGTAAATATTTTGCTTAAAAAATTTGAAAAGATTAAACCCTTAATTTGGACTTAACACAGTTTATCACAGATGCACAAAATCACACTTCAGGGTGTTATGTTTTTACTGCCATTTTGTGGTTTATACTTTATAGTCTTTTCAATTTTTGTCTCATTTAGGCAGCTGATGAGGACAATGTTATGTACATTGATGGCAGTAGTGGGGACGGGGCCGAACCCGATGGAGGCGAAACGCCCGACGACGAAGACAACACAGACGCACCGGCCGAATTGGGATCAGGGACAGACAGACCGGGAACAAAAGTTGCAGGTAAGATATTGATCAGTTGTTTCAGGAAAAAACCTTCCTTAATCTTAACCCTAACCCCCTAGGCCCTTGTTGCTTACAACCATCCTCAATCCTCCAAAATCCTTCAAAATTTTGCAACTCCGCCTAAATTTTTCAAAATTGTCAGACAGTCCTGCCTCAAAATGCATTCATCCTCAATCCTCCAAAATCCTCCTCATCCCAAAACTTTGCACTCGTGTTTAAATGAAGGATAAACCAACGCCAAATCCTTCAAAATCATCAGACAGTCCTGCCTCAAAATGCATTCATCCTCAATCCTCCAAAATCCTCTTGTGCTTCAATCACCATTCATCCTCAATCCTCCAAAATCCTCTTGTGCTTCAATCACCATTCATCCTCAATCCTCCAAAATCCTCTTGTGCTTCAATCACCATTCATCCTCAATCCTCCAAAATCCTCTTGTGCTTCATTCACCATTCATCCTCAATCCTCCAAAATCCTCATGTGCTTCAATCACCATTCATCCTCAATCCTCCAGAATCCTCATTTGATTCAATCACCATTCATCCTCAATCCTCTAGAATCCTCCAAAACCGCCAGGAGGATTTTGGAGGAGGGAGGTGGGTTAGGGTTAATCTTAATCCTCCTCAATTCTCCAGAATCAACCAGGCGGTTTGGGAGGATTTTGGAGGATTGAGGCTGAATTGCAAGAAAGTGTCTGTTGATTTTGGAGGATGCATTGTGTCGAGGTGTTACGCCGTACCCAGCATTGTTTATGTTCAGCCGTGCATAATTGAGGCCCACGTTATACCAGATACCATCCGCACTGCTTCTGGATATCACCGGCACTGCTCCAACGTCGCAGCATTTTGAAGAATTGAGGCAGTAGTCACCCCTCGATTGAAAACATTCAAGACATCACAAATGATTTTGGAGGATTGAGGCTGAATCCGACTTTTAAAGGATGGCAGTTGGAGGACTTTGCAGGATTGAGAATGGATCCTAGCAAAAAGTGCCTACGGGGTAAAGTTAATGATACTTAAATGGCAGTTTACAAACTACGTGTAGCAAGGTAATAGGGACGGGAAAATGTCGCGCTTTTGACCCTAAATTTGACTCGTTAGGAATTAGGTAAAACAAGCAGAAAAGAGTAAGGAACAAAAAGTATCGTACATTTTTATAAACACCCAACATGATAGCATTTTGGATTAGCGACTCTGGAACACAAAGAAGTTCTCAGTCTCCCCTCAATGAGAAAAACTGATTTGAAATGAGAAAAACTGATTGATCTGCTTTGGGGAAATGAAACTGAAATAAATTGGAAGCATTTTTTTACTCTAGTTTGGTTATCGACATGTAACAAGAATGAGGAAGTTGGAACTGGTTACAAAACACAGCTACAGTTGGCCGATGTTTTTGTTGCGTTGTCGAAACCGTTGAAGCTTTTGTTGCATCGTCGAAATCGTTGCATTTCCATCCCTACCAGGGGTCATAGGGTCATGGGCGCTTTCCTTATGTTCCATTATTCTCTTAAATTGAGGGGAAAATGAGGGATTTTTTTTTTTGGTTTGTGTGACAAACTTGGATACAATAACGCATTGCCGGATGTAACACAATGGAGATTTTTGTAAGGAAACCTGATATCACTGGTTGACTAAACTACTGCCTGTCACTTTGGGTTAGAAAAACTCGACTTTGAAATGGGGAACAATTTTTTTTGGGGGGGGGGGGGGGAGTAAACAAAAAATAGGTCATGCCAAGAATGGCTCGCATAAAAGGCAGGAACTGGACGGGGGAACTTAATAGAATTGCTTACTTTCTGTTCTGTGGGATTTCGGAGAGTGAAAACGAAACAGACCGGCAAACCACATCCAGGTAAATGGATTGCTTCCTTTTCAAAGAAAAACAATCGGACGTGGTTCAGAAACTTGCAGGGCAGTAACCATTGAAGTCGGTACCCGGCCTAAACCGGTCCCTTTCCAAAATTGTTCGTTATCCTATTTGCATCTACCCAACATGCAGGCCTGGCTTGTCGTTTGCGAACCGAACGGGGGGAGGCTATTTATTTTTTAATTCCCAGTTAATGGGTTCTTTTATTAGAAAATCGAATTACGGTCGGACGGAAAAGACATTTCAAGAAGGCACCAAGGCTGGGGTAAAGTGAGGCCGTTTGCCTCCGTGAACTTAGAGAAATTGTTGTTTCAAACGCTGTACAGCTTGCACACTTCATCGTTTATGTGTACGCTAAAGCCTACTGTGTCTAACAGGCATGAGATTTTTCAGACTATTGCCTGAATTCAGACTTTTTGAATCTGAGAGAAAGACATTGTCAGTATAGAAAGAAATGCATCTTTCAGATCTTTCATCCAAACTTCTTACTATATTTTCAGAAAATGTTCAAACAGTTTCTTCAAAATTTGACAATCTCATCCTGTTTCTAACAAAACCCAACAAGGAGCAAATTTGTTGGATTGTTGTTCATCTGGTGAACTTTGTGAAATTTCTTGTTAGCTTATGAATCATTTGTATCACATCTTAGAACATTCTACATGTAAGTTCTCTGAAACTGAAGTAAATATTTTTTTGGGCTGCCATAGTGTAACAACACTGCTCCAACTTTGAACTTACAAAATGTAAAGGCATAATATTTATCCCAAAAGTAAGGTACCAAATTATCAGTACTGGTACTAAACACCCTGTGAAATTATTCCGTCTGGCTTGCTGTCATTTAGAAGAAATAAAAAAATGTAGGAGATTTCCAGCAATCAGTCAGTTGACTGATTTTTGGAAATAAAGAGTGCCATTGACGAAAGAGTGTTTCATGATCAAAAGGTTGTGCGCAGTTTTTCACTGTATTCTGGAAAAGTGTATTTATCCACTGAGCTCAAAAGTTCAACAGGTTAGGTTTTGAAAATTCTCCTTTGGATTTGGAGTGGTGTTAGTATTAGAAAATAACAAAATGCATAAACAGCAAATGATGCTGTATGAAAAAGAATCCCCTTTAAAATATTTTTGCTGCCGCGCCAAAAAAACAACAGCACTTACGGCAATTTCCATCTGTGCCTTTCACCCAAACTACCTCTCAACACGTCCACCCCTGCAATAAGAATCATCATAATGTTGTCTGCTAGTCCCAGATCCAAAATCCAGGCAGGTTCATATTACAAGAAATGAAAGGGCCCCGTACCAGAGGTTCGTGTTTACGGCATTCGGTGGAAACCGGCCGGACTGCGGGATGTAGCCCCGCAGGTTTTACTGGCTCGCTGGGCTGTTCCATTCAGACTTGGTTCGTTTCTTTCGCTGTTGGTCAAAGAGGGGGAAGAAATATGAAGGAAAGAAATTTAGGGGATTGCAATAAAAATAAAATCTTGCTTTTATGCAGGGCTGTGTCATTCCGACCCTGTTAATTTCTTTGGCTGTTCACCAGTGAAGAAAAGAAACTATTAAAAGATTTTAGTAAAACAAAATGGGGTTTCATGTTCATGTAGGGCTTATAAGCCTCATGGAGTGATCCTCTGTAGGGAAAACATGTGTTCTTTGACATTTTTTTCATTGAATATTTCATCCGACCTATGCACGTGTAACATTGGAATTTGACAAAGTAGGGCCGAGGGAACTATGTGTAGTTTATCAAGAGAAAATTGTTGGAATACTTACTTGAATCTATTGAGAATTTGGCTGTGGATCATGTGTGAGGTATTGGTATAAATAATACCGAGAATGGTACCAATAGTGAAACTTTCCCATAAGGTTGTGCCTAAAAATTATCAAACTTTAAGACCCCTAACCCCTATTTTATTTTATCCTAACCCTGCAAATTTTGGTTTTCTTATGTGTCGGACCACAAGCAATCGAAATAAAAAATTTGCCTCCAAAGAGGAGTTATAACATCACAGAGACATTGAAATGTCTATTTAATCTACATTGTACATACCGGTACCTTGTCTCCCTATTGGTATACGGTAACTTGTACAATGAATAAATGTCTCCCTAAGGGTGCATTAATTTACAGGAACACAGAATACTGTACTATGCCAAAGCATTTAACTTCAAGTACAAAACTTGAATTTAAAACAATAATATTATTTGTAAAACTCCTCATGAAAAATACACACATGTACACTCACTTCGCTTCCTGTAAATTCAGACTTTTTCCATTGAAAAAAAACCCAAACAAACAAACAAACACCACCCCCCCCCCACAAAAAATAAAAACCTCTGCAATTTCCCATCTCATTTCGGACGCCCATTAAAGTCAACTCAACTGCGTCCGGTCACCTGAGCGTTTCACCTTTCACTAATTGGCCAGCTCGGCGGGCGCCAGTCTCGGCATCCATATGCCCTGCAACTATCAACCCGAGCCTGCCGAAGGCCGGCGTAAATAACCAAAACAAGTCTTGTCATTAAAGGTACTTGACAATAAGTGGTGGCTCATCACACACATTAATTGAGACGTTACTGTATGGGTGGGACGGCTAGATTCGCAGCCACTTTAAAATTGTTATTCACAAGTTTTTTTAGTCGGACAATCAGACATTCCTACAGTGAACAAATTTAAATATCTAAAAATTCTTTAGATATTTGTAGGCGTTTACATACTGTATTTCTTCTTCTTTTTTATTGTAGGATTTTTACTTTTTTTTTTTTTTTTTAATTTTTTATTTGTTAATTTTTTTTGGGAAGGGTTGGAATGTGTTTTTTTTTTAAAGGCAATTTTAGCCCGATCATCAGAAATATGAAACGGAATAATTGAACCATTACTCTGCCCTCTCTGGTACCACTCGTCAAAACTTGCACCCAACCCCAACTTGAAAATACTCCCCCCCCCCCCCCCAGAACAACTCTCACAAACCTCCAGTCTTCCAGCTTCAAAATTGCGACAGTCCTCGATCTTCATCTTCGATCCTAAACATTGGCCGCAGCTCGGCCCACCAGGCAGTATGTCATCAAAAAGGGATTAGCTACCAGGGCCGGTCGGTGTCGCGCTTTAATCTGACTGACGAGTGAATGTGATGCGAGGA